ATATGATTTCTGCAGCTGAATTCCCCAGTGGTTTGCACTACCTCCACTGCCTTGTACTTTCAAAACAACCTCCAAAGACCTCTGCGTGCCTAGTAATACTAGCAAAGCAATCACTGTCTTCAGAGAAGATGATTTCTCAACTTTTCAAGTCATCTTTTTGGTTCATATTGTACCAAGATGCCTTTCAAAGAAAAATTTGCTTCCAAAAAATGGTTTTCAATAGTGGTGAGCCATAGCCTACTTTTCTTGATTTATCTTTGCCGTTTAAAGTTGGAATAGTCTTAACTTCAACAGCACAATTAGTCATTGGCATTTTCCTCTATATTTTTATTTGGTTTCTGCGGTGCATAAATGAAATCCTGTATTGTAGAAAGAAGCACGTTAGGAAGGATTGGAGAAAACTATGAATATTGAAGAATGTAGTTAACACATCAAGAATTTGCATTCCTGTTGCAGCAAATTGGGACTATTATTTTATAGAATTTCTTCTAAATGAATTACACGCCAGTAATACTCTTTAGCGATGCTTCTGTTAAAAGCAGAGCACCCTTGGAGAAAAACTATTAAGGCTGCGTCATGAATCACCAAGTCGAGGAAGAGAAAACGTATTTCCTTCCTGGTCTGGGAGGAAATGCATTGTGGGGCAGTACCCTTTGGAGCTGAGTCTTGGTCGGTGAACTTCTAGGATTAGAAAAATGCCTTTGTTTAAAGTAGCTTTCAGTAGATTTTCTCGCGCACCCAGGCTCCTTTGTCCGTGGTCAGGGATTGCGAGCTAAAACCTTTTTGGCTTCTGTTCACTCGTTCTCCTGCTGAGTCGCAGAAGAGTGCGGAAGGCAGAGTGGCTTGCACTAGCGCTTCCTCAGCCAAGCCGCAGGGCAGGAGAGCTCAGGGCTGCTGTCTGCCCCACTTTAAGAGAGGCTTTTATTTTTGCCATATTGGGAATTGAACCCAGGACTTGACGTGTGCTAGCAACTTTCTACTGCTGGACTGTATCCTCAAGCCTTTTTTCTTTGAGTCAGAGGCTCACTACGTTGCCGGACGATCCTGGAATTTGCAACCCTCTTGCCCCAGCCATCCAGAATATTGAAACTATAGGCTTGGGCCTATACCTGGCTAACCTGGTGTACTTTTAAAGGGAAATTCAGAAACTAAAAAGAAAAATGGGGATAGAATTATATGGGAAAGTTGATAACCTTTGAGATTGGGAAAGTTAACTGTATATTTCCCTAAGAGTTATAAATGGTTCCTTTACTATTGCAAGAATTGGGTGAACTATAAAATATTTACACTTTTCTATGTGTAATTATTTTATATGAGCTTCCAATAACTATTGCCACCAGATGTAGCTTCCAAAAAAGTCATCTTTATATCTTTTTCCATAAATCCAAGATTGGTCGCATTGCTTTCAGAATGAAGATGATAATGATGATGATGATGATGATGATGATGATGATGATGATTATTTTGATTTCTAAGACATTGTCTCACTGAGTAGTTCAGGCTGGTCATGAACTCACTGTGTAGCCCACACTGGCCTCGAACTCATGGTGACCTTCCTTCCTCAGCCTCCTGAATACTGGGATTACAGGTGTGCGCCACCATATCTAGCTTGAAGTTTAAATTCCTGTGTGAACACTCAGGGTCTCTGTCATTCAGCAAATATAAATTGCACATCTGTATGCTAAGCGTGGTCCTGGAGATACAGTTTTTAAAGAATTGGCTTCCCCTTTGAAATACTTATAGCTTTAAACTTGATTAAGACTGTAGAAGCTTATTAATGGCTTTCACTGTCTTTTCATACATGCATATAGTGTACTTTGATTGTATCAACCTTCCCCACTATTTCGTGCTCTTTCCTGCTGACTTTCTCCTTCTCTAATGGGCATCCATTCAACAATTTTATTGCAAGTCATTTTTTTCCATGTAGCCTAAATATGCGCGCAAGTAGAAAGTCTACTTTGTGCTCTCTTGTTTGATATATACTCACAAATGTTCACCACTCCTTGTTACTCTATCCTGGGGTAACATGTGACTGAAAATTTAGTATGAGACCATGTGTGCATTAAGCAGGGTAGAGTAAGTTATACTGTCATAGAAAATACCACCATAATCTCAGTGGTTTAATAGCAGGAATTTTCTTTTTGTTCCTTGGAAAAGCCCTGAGGATCCAGTAAAACACCCCTTCATGTGGTGGCCCAACATTCCAGGCTGCTTCAGCCTGGAAAGCACCATGGCAATGTGTGTTTGTCCTGTTGCTGTGGGTGGGCTAGGAACCTAGCGTGTTGTACCCCGGCTCTTCATTACTGCAAGAGACGTGCATGCGTGCCTAACCTCACAGGGGAGAGGAGTGCATCCTCCATACTGGGGTAGATTGAAAATATCGGTGAGTTCTGCTCTACCAAGGCCATTGTTGGCTCAAAGAAGGGGGAAGTAGTGGTTTCATACTGTGATCTTTTTCAACTTTTAGGATTTTCTCAGAGACTCGGCAGGAACATAAAGCAAATGGAATATTCTAGCAAAGTCTTGTAGAACGGAAAATGTCGGGGTAGAGGCTGTCACACAGAAGTAGAAAATACCTGCTTTTCTGGTGTCTAGATTTCAGATACCATAACTGCCATAGCAGCTTTTGAAGAAATGGACAAGCATAAGAGTCTGAAACAGGGGGCCTGGCCCTAGCTCAGGCCTTTAAGTGGCTGCTTCCACAAAGCTGTCAGCCTCAGGTTGCTGGAGTTCGAACCTCACACCTCTCCCGCTGGCCAATAGTGCCCTGAAGGCATTCGAGGAACCAAAAAAAAAAAAAAAAAAAAAGAGTCTGAAACATACTTTGAGCAGAAAAAAAATTTCCTAGGGTTATCACTTTTCTCATATCGGAGCACCTGGGGACCTTCTAAAAGGACATCAGCTTTTAAAACATCATTGGTGGATACAGGACTCCTTCACTGAAGTTACCTTAGTGTCAGAAGGACAGGATGCTGAGTTTCTATAACTAGTTATGGTGGTGTATGTGTCCCTGTGACCACCCCCATGCAACGTGGATTTTATGTACAGACCATCTCTGGGACCCTGAAGTTAGTAGGTACGAATAAAGGTGTGAGAGGATGCTGTCATTACCACCAATGGAGCAGAAATACACTGCTGTTTTTAGAGCTCAAATTATTGAGCTAACCTGGGAGTGTTATCATAGGAACAAGAATGCTGTCGTTTCCATCATTGCTGTCTCTCCCCATCTTTGAGCTTACAGAAGATTTTAAAATTTAGAAGTCATGCAGCAGGGAAGAATATGTTTTCACTTGAACAAGCCAGGTAACTTGAGGCACCATAAAAGCCCATATCCTCTCAGAAACACTTCAAGATGTTAGTACAAGGCCCTAAATAGATCACGTATACTGCTATGTCTAGTCTTGTAGTGCACCATTTCCCAGATCCTACCCAGATACTAGCTTTTAATGACTCTAAATCAACAAGACGGGGTGGAACAAACATCTAAAGCACTATTGCACCAAAACTTTAACAGCTGAATCCAGTGTGTTCCAAATAAATAATAACTACACTGAAAGGGTGAAAAGGGAAAGAATGTTTACATAACTGTGGAAAACAACATCTTAACTGGGTATTCTTAGGCTAGGGATGTAAAGAATGATTACATTCTGACCTAGTCAATGTGCTTTTGTTGCAGGGTGGGAGGGAGCAATTTCTCAAGTAGTTTATACAGAGTGGTAGAATTAAACAAGAAAATATATATCAGTGTGCAGACATATATTTCCTAGCTCTGCCTAGCTAGAGGGTCTGTGGGCTGTGATAAGCATGTCTAGCACCTGGACATTAGCTTCTAAACACAATGTCCAATAAAGGAATTAAGGATCCCTGGCCAAGGAAGTAATTCCAGGGCTGGGGAGGGGGAAATGGAAAGTGAGCCTGGGGCAGGTTGTAGAGCCAGATAATGAAAATGCTCTAAAAAAGCAATCTACAATGTGTCAGAACACAGGAAGCAACCTAGATGGATAAAGCTAGGACAATTTTAGCAATGATAAAATACTGATAGTACTGGATCTTAACTATTAGAGTAAAATATCCACTAGTCCATACTGAGACTCATAAAAAGTTGAATGGTGAAATGAAAGAGAAAAGACATTCTTTATTACAGAAAAGTTATAGTTAATGAGAATAGAAGAAATAATAGAAAATCACCAGTAAGCACATAATCGTAATATTTGTAATGAACAAGATCGATTGATGGGTGTAGATATTTATGGGCAGAATCTAAAAAGAACCAAGATATTTTTTATAGTCTCAAAGCACTTCTTCCAATACCAGTAATGAAGAGGAGGTAGATAATTTTAGACACCACTTTAACCAAGTGATCTAGGTAAATGTTAATGGTGATAAGACATCTATAATGCAAACCCTTGGCTATTACACACTGAAAAGGACGCTATCCTGAAAAGACTGAGAAATCAGGCTGAGAAGATAGCTCAGTGGTCTAAGCACCTGCCTGGCAGGGGCAAGGATCCAGGTTTGATTGCTGGTGCCACATGCTGTGCCAGCCCTGGAACCCCAGGTGCGCCATGCTGTTCACTGAAGTAGGGCATGGTGGTGCACACCTGTAATCCCAGTGCTGGAGAGGCTGAGACAGGAGTATCACTACAAGTCCGAGCTGCACAGTGAGACCCTGCACCAAATAAACAAAAAGATTTTAAAAAATTAAAGGTTGAGAAATCAAAGGTGGGAGCATATTCAGAGGAGGAATGATTAAATGTGTGGAACAGAAAGATATAGTAAGGGAACTATTGAAATTAGAATAAGGTTTGCAATTTAGTTATTAGTAATTCTAGTTAGTGTACTATGGTTACTAATGAGAATTTAGTGATAGAAGGTGGGTAAGGAGTATATGCTAAGTTCAAAATAAAAGTATAAATAAAATGAAATAAATATATAAGGTAACAAAGACAAATTTCTATAAAAAGTAAACTATTTGCTTCTTTCTATTGCAATTTCTGTAGCAGAGAGACTTTCAAACAGCTGGCTGGATGTTCGTCATATTGAAAAATACGTAGACCAAGGGAAAAGTGGAACCCGAGAATTACTGTGGTCCTGGGCACAGAAAAACAAGACCATCGGTGACCTCCTGCAGATTCTTGAGGACATGGGGCATCATCGAGCTATTCATTTAATCACAAAGCACGGTAAACACATTCTTAAATATGGCTTCTTGATCCATCCTATAAGGTTTAAAATTTGTAAATGGAAATAATGCCAGTAGAAAGAAGACATGGGCTCAGTATCCGAGAAGTTTCTCCCCTGTCACTTTCATCTTCAGAGGACCTTGCAGCTTCATATGTGTGTGTGTGTGTGTGTGTGTGTGTGTGCGCGTGTGCGCGTGCATGCGCTCATGCAAGAGTGTGAGGGTTTCTTCTCACACTTCCTGACCTCCACAGTGCATTCTTTTCTATTGCTTCATAGTTGGTTTTTTTTTTTTTTTTTTTTTTTTACTTTTATTTACAAATTACTGGTTTTCAAACTTACCATTTCTGGCAGCTAAGAATCAGCTCCAACATTGAAAAAACTCTTTGAATCATAACAATCAAGAGCATAATATTTAAGAGGTGTACTAACAGTGTTTGGACAGAATATCCTGTCTGCTTCTTGTACTGTGGATAACCACTAAGAAGATAACAATGTACAATGTATTGACTATCAAAAAAAAAGAGCATAATATTTAACAAAATATAGATGCTCTCCTTTTTATATAATTAGAATTTAGAAATATAATTGGATTGTCCCTATGCATTTTAGTGCAAATGATGCCTGGAGAATGGGCTTGGGTTTCTATTTTATCTTCACTGATTTTATTATGCCCCAGTCTTAACTTTGTCTTTTTTTTAAATTTAAAAATATGGAATGTTTCATGAATTTGTGTGTCATCCTTGTGCAGGGGCCATGTTAATCTTCTCTGTATCATTCCAATTTTAGTATATGTGCTGCCGAAGTGAGCACTTAACTTTGTCTTACTTTCCTGTTGTTCGTTTTGTAACTCTTTGCTGTTTTGATTCTGATAACTAGAGACCATAAAATTTCTTCATATTTTCTTTGTTAGTAAAATAGTCTCTGTTCTGTTTCTTTCACTTGAATTTATTCACTGCAACAATAATGATCCTGAGTGATCTTGGTCCTTTGTGTTATAGGCTCAGAACTCTTAGCTTGCACACTTTTTATTATTTATTTTTTGTTGGGAAACAAACTCAAGACCTTGTGCTTGCCAGGCAAGCACTTATTCCACTGAGCTATCTTCCCGGCTAGCGTGTACACTTTTGAATCAATGTCTTTGTGCTTTGGCTCACTATATCCATATTTTCAGCTTTGTATCATTGCACATGTGTTCTTTGGTAACTTATTTAGTGTAAAAGAACTTCTCCTTTATTATGCAAAGAAGACCTACACAGAAAAGGATAAATCATGAGCTGTATGTACCAGATAATTATAGCTTCAGAATGAGCTTTATTTTGTAATTTTCAAATTAATGGGCTATTAATTCTAATAGCTTTCTACCATGATATCGTCTATATAATTTGGCTAATCGTTCTTTTAACCTTTTGTCCAACCTTTCTTTACTTGGTTTAGTACAACAGAATGCTTCATTTCAAATCTAAGCAAGTGAAATATAGGGTTCCCCGGGAATTGCAAACGCCATGTCTTTTTATTATCTGAACATTTTCCAACCACTGAAGCCACCCACAAAACTTTCTGTGCGTAGAATAAATCAATACCAATTTAATAAGACATGGGTATATTTTATACTTCTGTGTTCTGGAATAGATTTCAGGGTATATTTTTACTGTGTTGTTTATGTATGCAGCAGAGAGTGATTTAACTGTAAGAGGACAAAAATTTCAAATTCCTGTGTTGACTCCTAGTCTGTTGCAATGTTGATTTTGCTTTATAAAATATGAGGTTAGCTGATTAGAGAGGTGATTATTTGCTGTTCTAGTAGAAGAAGTTAGGTAAATTCAGGATGAACAGGAGAATAATACTCTAAATATTTTACTAAAGAAAAAAACCTGTTGTTTAATTGTAATTTATTGAGTTGATACCTTGAACTAGATCATAATCTTGAAGTTCACTGTAGCTGGGTGTGGTGGTACGTTCCTCTGTAGTTTGTGGATCTGAGGCAGGCAGGAGGAATACAAGTTCAAGTCTAGCCCAGACAGTTTAGCTTTGTAAAGAGAACTTGTCTCAAAGATGAAAAGAGGAGGCTTGGTCTATAGCTCAGTATGAAGGCTCCCAGTTCAATCCTTAGTGCCAGACCCCCTTCTCCTTCAGAATTGAACAGACTGGGGCTGGTGAGATGGCTCAGTGGTCTAAAGCACCTACTGAGAACAAGCTTAGCAAAGCCGGACCGCGGTTCAATCCCCCAGCACCACATGCCAGCCAGCCCTGCCCTCTGGTGGGCTGAGCTGGTCACACACACACACACACAAATAAATAAATAAATAAATAAATAATTTTAAAAAATAAAAAAAAAAAGAATTGAACAGACTGTTTAAGGTGAAATGTGATGATTCACTGGCAGGTGTGGCCTGCTGAACAGGTCAAGCTGTAGCTAGTCTTTGCAGCTGCTTCCTAAATTAGGACTTGGAACTTCTACTTGAGAAATGCATAAGAAGATTTAGTCATTCTGTATTGCTGCCATGGACAGATTTATCAGTTATGCAGATAATCCATTTTTGCCTAGCTTTCTTTAGTGTTTGTCCTGTTTGGTGGGATGAATTTTAGAGGAATGCCTGTTCACATTGTAATTTCCAGGTGTTTTGTTCCTAGATTTGAACTGTCTTCCAAGTCTTACCAAGAAAGGCTTTGTTTTTCCACCGGAACTATTCCTGCAAGTCAGGCTTCTGCCACTAGGTGGTTTATCCACATCCATAAAACATTCCCTGGGAGATCAGGATTTAACAAACTGTTAAAGAAATTAGAATCTTTAGTTACTGGGATATGTTTTCTGGTAGTCATGTCCTTACACACCACACCTATCTTTGGTATATCAATGATCAGGAATTCTTTTCCAGTTTGACATGAAATCTACAGCTTTTTACTAGCTTTTTAGAAGAATTTTGAATCTTTCATTTTGTGATTTTTTTTCCCTTTATATATTTAGTATAGGGTTTACAGTGTCACATTACATAGATCGGACTTGTAATGATCGTCCTGTTTTCAGCCTCCCAAGCGCTGGGATTACCATGCTCAGTCTCAGTCACTGTCTCAGCACGCCCCGTGGGCGGGGCTGGCATGGCATGCTGGGGATCGAAGCATCTGCCTAAACAGGCCCTTTAATCCGATGAGCTATCTGGCCTTTTAATCTGATGAGCTATCCGGCCCTTTAATCCAATGAGCTATCTGGCCAGCCCTTCAATTTGTGATTTTTATTAACAACAAAAGGATGATTGCTTTTAGCGTCTTTACGGCCTCCAAACTTCAAATTTTGTTCTATATGACAATATCTAGTTCTGGATGTTTGTTATTTCTTTATCTTATTTAGTTGCTTTGGCTAGATCTTCTAGTATAATCTTTAGGTGAAAACATTCAGTCTTTCACCTTAAGGTCTAATGTTAACCATTTGGGTTTTTAATAAATGCTCTGTGTCAGATTGATAAAATTGACTTCTATTCTTAGAGTTTATTTCCTTATTTTTATCATGATAGGATATTAGATTTTGCCAAATGCTTTCCCACAATTTCTTGAGATGAACATACAGTTTTTGTACTTCTTTCTATTAATCCAGTGTGTTACACTGATTTTCACATACTAAATAAATTTTATATATCTTGATTATGGCATATAATCTTTCTTACATATTTCTCATTTTTGTTTGTTATTATTTTATTGAGGATTTTTACATGTATATTGCTAAGAAATCTTGCTCTCTACTTTCTTTGTAATATCTATTCCTGGCATTGGTATCAGAATAATATTGGTCTCACACAATAATTTGGTTGTTCTGTCCTCTTCTTTTTTTTTTTTTTTTTTTTGTGGTATTTGAGATTGAACTCTGGACCTTGCACTTGCCAGGCAGGCCCTTGTGCCACTAAGCTATGTCCCCAGCCCCTCTTCTGTTTTTGAGAAATTTATGTAGGGTTTATTTTAAACATTAAATGTATGGTAGAATTAACCAATGAAGTTATCTGAGACTGGATTTTTCTTTATGGAAAATTTATAATACTAATTTAATCTCTTTGTTCTATGTGGCTTCAGATTATTTCTTGTTGAGTTAGTTTCAATAATTTGTGTCATTCTAGTAATTTATCCATGTCACCTAAGTTATCTAATTTTTTTGTCATACAGTTGTTCATAGAATAACTTATAGAAGCTTATAATTCTTATTTCAGTGAGCTTGGTAGTAGCAATGTGTCATGGACTTTACTAATTTTATCTTCTCTCTGTCTTGGTAAGTCTAGTTAGAAGATTGTCTTTTCTCTCTCTTCAAAAAACCAACTTTGGTTTCACTTGTTTTCTCTTTTGTTTTTTATTCTCTGTGTTAATCTCCACACTGATCTGTATTAGTTCCTTTGTTTTACTCTCTGTAGTTTAGTTTGATTTCTTTTTCTACTTCATGTGAAAATGTAGGTAATTTATTTTTCCATTTTTTAAGGTGAGCATTTGCAGTTATAAATTTCCCTGTAAACGTTTATCATGCTACATCGTACACATTTTGGTATGTTGGGTTTTCATTTTCATTCATCTCGAAGTATTTTCTAATTTACCTTGTGATTTCTTCTTTGACTCATTAGTTACTTGTGAACATCTCCTTCAGTTTCCACATATCTGCGGACTTGCCAAATTTTGTTTTGTTACTGATTTCTACTTTAGTTGTGTTGTAGTCCGTAAATATACATTGTTTGCCATATAATGAATGAAAATGATTTCAGACCTTCTAAACACATTGAGGCTTCTTTAACTGTCCAGCATCTGACTTGTTCTAGCACACACTTGGAGAATGTTCTAGCACACACAGTAGAACCACGGGCATGTTCTGTTTTAGATGGAATGTTCTGTGGTTGTTTAGTGAGTTTGTTATTAGTTGTGTTTGTTGCTCGTTTTCTGAGCAAAATAATGAAACACTAATTCGTAATCTAAGAAAACTGAAAGGTAAAGTAAAATCTTTCTAAAGTCTGAATCAAAATGTTAGAAATGACAGTGAAATAACATTCTAAGCTTTGTAGAAAACTGTACAGATTCCTTCAGTTCTGGTAGGACTATAAGGAACGGTTTATATTTTGGTAGGAGCAATGCGTATTGATGGTTGCTAACGCATGCATGCTCACAACACCTGTAATACCTTATGGTATAAAAATAAACCACAGACTTACAATATTATAACTTTAAAATGTTTAAATATATGGGCAAAATTCTGGTTGCAATTTTACATCTTGCTTTCAGTTTTGTATGTATTTTAACATTTTAATATCTGGTAGTAATTTAATATTTTAATAATTTAAATCAGCTATTCATGTTTTAAGTAAATAAAATCATATTTTTATAATTTTTTTTTAACTTTTCCATGTTCACAGGCTTCTATTTTAAACAGTATTGAGACTTGTGGAACCTCAGGTACACTTCGTGTTTCTTCACTGTTTACAATTACACATCCCAATCCGAACAGTGAGAGAGTCTATTGCAGCGAATAACAGAAGTCGTGGGAGACACGTCAGGAATATTTTATGGCTATGGAAGTTCAGATGAGATTTAGCGAACACATCACATGAGTAAAGTTAATATTTGATCATGAGAAAACTATTTCACATGTGTAAATTTGTAACCATTGCAAATGAATGAAACTGAACTGTGGACTCCAACATTGTCATCAGTATACTTATGTTCAATCTCAGAAAGAAAACCAAAATGACTAGAAACAAAAAAATGTTTGTGCTAGCTTCCTTTATTTCTCTTTCAGGAACAGGCATGCATCCCTTAAAGCAGAGTCATCAGGAATATGGATTTCCAAAGATATCAGCCAAGATAGAGCAGGTAAGCCTAGAGAATGACCCCAAGATGCTATTGCATATACAATTGAGCATAAAAATGAAATTCTCAGACAGATAAATGTCAGCTATGCAAGTGATTTTTTTTAAATGAAAAATAAAAAAAGAACTTAGTGATTTAATAATTCTGTTTAGTTGAGTATTCAGGAAGTTAGAGATTTGTAAATATCTGAAAAGTAAAAGTGTTCCTTTCTCTATCATCTGTCTGAGTTCAGATTTAGTACAATTAAGGATGCTGTGAGTTACGAATTTCTGTTAACTAAGCTGTTTTTTCTTTTTCTAGTTGATGTTTTGCATGTGGTTATTTTTTATTACAGCAAATTAGCAGTGATTTTTATAGCATTGGAAGTCATTCAGAATAGACTCTGGGGGCTGGCAAGATAGCTCAGCAGGCTGAAGGGCCTGCTTAGGCAAGCTTAGGCAAGCGGTTGATTGCTGGCACTGCATGCCTTGCCAGCCCCGCCCCTGGGCCGAGCCGGCCAAAGTCTGGGCATAGTGCTGCATGCCTGCAATCCCAGCACTGGGGAGGCTGAAAACAGGAGGATCACCGTGAGTCCAAGCTGCATAGTGAGACCCTGCAACAACCAAATACATTAAAAAAATAATAAAATAAAATAAAATAGATTCTGGCATTGATACTTGAATTTTTACAGTTGGTATAGAGGTCTTAACTGTACATAGTATAGCAATGAATGCTCTTGAGAAAGTGAAATAACTTTGCTTTATACGAGCTTTCTTCTAAATTAAATCCTGCCCTATTGTACTCTATAGTCTTGGGGAAACTGGATTTCTGTAAAAGCTCTGTTTGGTTTTTTTTCTCTTATGAAATGAAAAGAAAATATGTATTTTTTTCTTTTAGAAAACAGCCAATGTCCCAGTGGATAATGCTCTTACTCCTGAACATAATGAAACAGGTAAAACAAATCAACTTTTCCCTTAAGTCATGTAAGTGAATTTAGATAGGAGCATACCCAATAGACATTTAAACCATTTATATCCAGAGTCAATATAAAATGTTCATAGATTTCAAAAATACATTGAATTTTGTTGACATATATAGCTCTGCTGGATGAGACTGCTAAGAATCCTTTGGCTCATGAAGGACGGAACTGTGGTCTCCTCTCATAGAGGGACTTTCTTTGTTAGTAAAGTTTGCTACTTTTATGTGTCATTAGAAAACACTTGAAAATGCATGTCCCTAAGTCGGGTGTGGTAGTAGTGCACACCTGTAATCTCAGCAGCCGGGAGGCCGAGGTAGGAGGATTGTGAGTTCGAGACCAGCCTTGACTACAAAGTAAGCTCAAGGCCAGCCTGAACTGTACAGTGAGACCCTGTTTCAGAAAAGACCAAAAAGGAAAACAAATCATGTCCTTTTTTCTGGCTTTAGAAATTTCATAGCAATTACATGGATCTTTTGAGATGCTTATAGAGCAACGCTGAGGGTCCATATGAAAATTGAATTTTCATATTAACTTTTCTGCTTTTTTTAGTAGAGGGAATAATTTAGTCCCATCTGGGAATCATCTGACAGTTTTGTTTAGAGCTGCCTTGCCTTATAGTTTTTATTATTTCTGGTACTACTCCTGTTGAAAGAGAGTTAAAGTTAGATACATTTTCCATTCTTTAGCAGTCAGATCTAAGGCAAACTATAAATGTCTTTAGAGTATTCTCAAATAGCTGTGGAAATGTAGCCCATGCTTGGCTTTGATGAAGTTAGCCAAGTATTTTTTAAAAAGTTGTATTAGATTATTTTAAATGTTTTTTCCTAATCTATCTTCAGATTATTTTTTAAAAAATGGATTATCTTCCTAATTTACTCTGAAAATAAATTAGAGAGGTTTTAGCTCATGAAAACTATTTCTGTTAGTCATGCTTGGAGAATATTGTTTAAGCATATCAAGAGTTTCATATCAGGGTTTTTAGTGGTTTTAGTTTCATAAAGGGTCAGTAGCACTAGACTGACAAGGAAACAGAATATTTGAAAACTTTCCCCAATCAAGCTCTTTGGCTCCTCTTTTTGGAGAAGTGATAAAATCCCAGTAATAATTGTTCAAATACCTAAAAAGCCACTTATTTTTTCTATGGGATGATGAGAATGACTCCAGTAAATTAGCAGAGAGCTTATACTGGGCTTCAGCTTGTACTTGTGGTCTTTTTACTACTGATTTTCCACTGGGCTGTAATGTATTTCTATTATGGAAGTCCTGCTTATCCAGTGAAGTTGATTCTTAACAAGAGAAAAAAAAGGTGCTTCATCTTCTCCCTGTTTTTCCTTTCTAAGGAATATTGCTTAAATTCCCCATCAGCTTTCAAAACATCATAGAAGGAAGCAGAAATTTCCACAAAGACTTCCTAATTGGCGAAGGGGAGATTTTCAAGGTATACAAGGTGGAGATTCGAAACCAAACATATGCCATTAAATTATTTAAACAGGTATGAAAAGTATTACTATCACATGATATCCATTCTGTTTACTTGCTCATATTTCATATTAAAAATGTGTTTTCACCAATATTGAAAGTACATATATTTGAAAGTAAAATTTTCTAAGTGAAAATAAGACATATGACTAGAGAATTGACTGAGAAATGAATGTCCATCTTGTAAGAATACGGAAATTAAATCCTTCCCATCCTCAGGTATACTGCGTGAAAAGGATTTTTGTGAAAAGCTGTTTAGGACCCCAGGGACTTTGCTTAGAGGATTAGGCTATGCTAGTCTTCTTAGGATGACCTCTTTTTGGCAGCTTCAGGGCCGCGCCGCAGGTAGGCATTTAGTGCTATTTCAGAAGTCGTCCTCCATCACAATTCAGCAGGGTGGGAAAGAGGAGACTTGAAGTAGGAGCAAAGAGCTTGCTGTCAGAGCAGGTGGAGGTTGGAAGGTAATTGAGGTACAAGAGCCAGGAAGGCAGAGAGGGGATTAGTGAACCAAACTTCAGAGCCTGTGATGGGCACCTGCACAGAGGAGCTGTTCTCCGTAAGTTGTGATAGGTACCTCCACAGATGCACAGAGAGCTGTACTTCATGCCTTCATTGCTAGCAGTCCACACATGGGTAGCCAACTCCTACGAACTTGGCATCAGTGCCTGTAGAGAGGGAAAGGCTACTTCTGTCCTGGCACTCACTGTCTTTAGCAGACAGCAGTAAATTTAAGAAAAGATTAAGCGCTGAAGAGTACCTTAGCAGAGATTTGTGCCAAAAAGGCCTGAGAGCACATAAAAGGTAACATCTCTCCACCCAGAGGAGGAGCGCATCTAGCATCTCTCACAGAGAAACTGCTCAATAGTTAAATGTTAAAGATGAAAAAAAAAGGGAGCTTTTATGCAGATTTCAGCGGATGGGCAAAATTTTAGAAGACAGTGAAGGAAGGGAAGTAAGAGTTTAACAAATACTGGGTACAAAGGCCTGGAGGTGCGTGCAGGCAAGCACGGGCCTTACTCATGTATGGCAGGTCATTTAGTGGCGTAGAAGAAAGTGTGACAAAAGATGATCCTGAAAAGATATGAAGTGTGGCCAGAAAATACAGTGAAAAATAGGACTTTATAAAATATTGAAGTATAAGACACATTACCAATTCCCATAAAAATATTCCTACTTTCCTCAACCTTATCCATCATTCTTGCCACTTCCTAAAGCAGTTCTGGAAGAGTCTTCCTTCAGTAGCTTTAGTTGTGCTGTGGAATCAGTTCAAAACAATTGCCTTTTGTGGCCATTTTTGACATTGGGGACAAGCCAGAAGTCACGCAGTGCCAGTCCTGATGAGGAAGGTGGATGAGTACCACCATAATGTCTTTATTAGCTTCCCTTCTGTTGGGGCCCCGTCCCACAGCAGCAGTCACCCTGTTTCTGGTCTCACTTTAATGTGCTCCAGATGACTTTCAGAATCACTTTAGAAGGGACAAGAATGATGGGATAAGTGTGTTGGAAATAGGGAGAGTGTTCTGAGGGGGATTAGTAGCAATATGTCTTTTACTTTGATCATTTTTAAAAACTTAAATATGCACCATATATTTTGGCACCTCTGGTAGGTAAAACCCACAGATGGTTTCTAAGTAGGAGAATGAAAGGCTTAGGTTGTGTTTTTAAGTAGAACTTCAATCAGAAGCTAGGAGATGGGATTAGAATTTGACAAGGGAGTCGGAGAAAGATGGTAAGAACTAGACAGGAGGGAAAAAAAACTCTAGTCAAGAGTTATTTAGGTATATAAACTAAGATATGGGTAGGCAGGGCTTAACTGCACTGCTTATCAGAATGTGGGCTAAGATAGGAGGCGAAATGGACCAAATCTAGTGAATCCTTGGTTAGGACTGGGATGCAGGGGAGAGAAGGATCTAAAGTGATCTCTGGTTTTCAGCTTACTGAATATTACAGGGCCTATAAAAACTATTTATCTGATTTCTTCCTTTTCTAGAATTTTAATTTGTTCCACTGGTTCTGTGTAGATCCTTCATGGTTCCTGAGAAAATGAGCAGTATATAAAAAATCTACTCATAAAACCATGCTACAAATAGAATGTGGTTACTCCAGAGGTGCCTAACTGTAGACTATTTCTTAGGCCAATTCTGGCCCCATTCTTTATAGTATTTGATGGTTCAGTCTGAAGTCCACCATTGGAAGGGTCTCTGTACTCTTTTCTTTGCAGGTGCTACCAAATCACATTCCCTTCAGGGAGTTTTTTTTTTTCCCCCATTAGTCTGATTTTAGAATGGGATTTTATTGCCCTTACGTCCCCTTCCCTTCTTGTTTTCTAGATGAGTGGTTTTTAACCCTCTAGTGTGGCTGCAATGACCACCCTAGAGCATCATTTTATTATTTCATAGTATTGCTTTCTTCATCTGCTTCTCCTAGGCAATTAGATAGATTTCTCTGAAGAATCCTTGCCTTGCTGTCTTTGTGTCTTTGTATCTTGTCATATTATAGAGGCTGTCCTGTTTGTTTGGTTATTATTATTATTATTTTTTTTTTATGGAACTGGAGATGAAACTCAGGGCCTCACATGCGTTAGCCAAGTCCTCTAGCGCTCAGGAACATCCCCAGCCCTTTTTATGTCTTGTTTTACTTACATTTGAGAGAAGATCTCTCATTTGCTGAGGGTGGCTTTGAACTTGTGAACCTCCTGCCCTGACTTACAGGCCTGCACCCCCGTGCATCTGTCAGAGTTTGTTGGATAAATGGAGTGAAGTACAAGTTCCTTTTCAAGAATTTAGCTGCTGCCCACTAAGAGTAAAAAGACCTCATGACTGTAGAGGACTACACAACGTCCTACCGTCTGTGGTCCCACCCTACCTGCATTTTAACTCTCTTTTAAGGAGGTGAATGGAAGTATGAATGAACTTCTGCCTCCTGCTTTTATCTCCATCTCACTTACCAGTGTGGCCTTCACACACACACGCACACACGCACGCACGCACACCCCAGGAAACATATTACCACTTAAGGAAGCCTTAATCACAGAACATTTTTAAAAGACATTTAATTCTTCAACATCGGAACATTGCCTTCAAGTGCTTGCAGTAAGTGAGGGATTGTATTACACATGTTGGATCCGTGCAGCTCCACATGTAATGTTTATCCTGTCATCTAGGAATCAGCTTGTAGCGCTGATTCAGGTGCTGTGGATCTGGCCTGAGCCCAGCATTCACAGCACTCCTTTCCAGCTCCTAGGGTGGGTAGCTTTTCTTTTTGGCAGCGGGGAGGGTGCGCAAAACCTCACTTTTAGTAAGAAGTGTTAGAGTGCTAGGTGTGCAGAAGCATGACAAGTAACACCTTCATTTTTCAGATTAAGAAAATTATAACTTCAGAGAAATTAAGGGGCTGGTAAAAAATGACAAATAGCAGAGCGCTGGTCTACCTGACACCTAGGACAACAGGCATGCAATATGTGACTTTTGATAAGGCAATCCTTGGAAATGATATTTGGACCCAGGTTACTGTTTCTGATTTATTTTGGCAAGTAACTTCAAGAATTCCTGCTCGATTTCTGTCCTTGTTTCTGAAGACAGAGCTCTAAAAATTCTTCCCTCTCTAGCGGTTTACAACTGAACACCTCACAGCGGACAGGACCTAGGAGCAAATTTGATTTAACTCTTTCATGGTAGAATTTAGGAACCTGAGATCTAAGGACAGGCAATGGTAAGACATGTTTAAAGGCATTAAGAATGAGTCGCGTACCACCTGAGGACTAAGAACAGTGCTACTATTAAACTTATCAATGGATTGAGTGTTCACGTGTCAAGCTTTGAGTGAGCCTTTGAACTTCTTTGTAGTAAGAAATTATACTTCCACTTCTTTAGTAAACTTAACTTCTCAAAATTAATACATGTTATGCTTGAAACAGTATATCCAAGCGAGCCAACCCACCAATGCCAAAATAGTAAAATTCTGCAGGAGAATACAGAAGATAGAAATTGTTTTCTTTATGCGAGCAAGGGAAGAATGCTCTAATTCTCATTAAAATATATATTATAATTATATTTAACTAAAATTATGAATTATAAAATTTTAATTATATTAGAAATTATATATGAATTTTAATGTGATATAATATGTGAAAATCTTTTAATTCAAGAGCAGTAATTCTAAATCTTTTTGGGGATAAATGGGTTTCTTAAAATCTATTGAAAATGAAGGATCCTCTAGAAAAATTTGCAAATGCATTTATACTAAAAAAAGAGACCTTTTTATCTTTTCTATATTTAGGAGAAAAAACTGCAATATAAAAAACATTTGAAGAAATTTTTATCTGAAATTGAAGTTTTACTATTGTGAGTATATTTTATCTGGAATTTTCCCCTCTTTTCGCCTGGGTTTCGTGTCTACTGATCTTTGATTTTACAGAACAGTGCTTGGCAGGCTTGCCATTTAGTTAACGTAGGTAGGATGTTGGAACATTGGGTCAGTTTTTGACATCTGCTTTTATATATTTCTTAAACTTAAAAATAGACCATTGACATAATTCACTTGAACACACAGAAGTGTCACCAGGAAATGGGTTAAATTGAGTGTGACTAACAGGGCTGAAGAATAATTCTCAGAATATTAGAATCGTGTGTATTTCCCTCTGCCCCCTTTCTTAGACTTTACAGTCTAGAACTATTTCATCAGTATAAGTCTCTTCAGCAAGAATTTTAGACAAAGAAATCAAGTACTTTTGATATGCGTAGTATTTTCTGTAAATTTGTTCATAAATCTAAGAGACCTTGGAGACAAACTTAAGTGACTTCATTGTCATATATATTTGTGTGTGCAGCTCTGCAGCCTTCTCCACCGAGGCCCCTGACCCTAAACCGTTCATCACCTTCTCTGCATAGCGAATGCTCTTTTCACATGTTTTCTAAATAGATATGTAAATTGGTGGTGCAAAGGAAAGAGGGGAGGGATGGTATTGTACCATATCCTTTCCCTTTCATCCTGAGGGCCAGAAATGAAAATATTAGAAGTTAATGATGGAAATTTAATACCCATTATTTAGTCACTAAAAATTGAATTCACAATTCTAATAGTGGGCTTCTGTATTTAGGTTTTATTGATTTACCTATGAAAGTGCAATTCAGACTTTTCAAAATTCCAAAAGTGCAAAAACTGTAAACTAAGACAAGATTTTTGCCTCCCTTCCCAGCTGAACATTATTTATTTCTTGTGTACTCAAATATTTTATATGCAGACAAGCACATATTTTATCTTCTCGATTTTGTCCTTTTGCACAGACGGTAGCAAAAGGATAAATACCACATTGCTTACTTCATACATTTGTATATCCTGTTTTGTGCTGTATTTTACCTTTCCCTACTTGAGGGATTTTCAGGAGTTTCTTTCTTAATTTTTTTTTTTTTTTTTTTTTTGGCAGAACCGAGGATTGAACTCAGGCCCTTGCAGTTGCCAAGGAACCGCCTATTCTACTAAGCCATCTCCCTGGCCCCTCTTTCCTATTTTTTTATTACTAAAAATGAATTCCCTAACAAGAAACCTGTTTTTTGCTGTTATTTCAAAAATCATTCTTAAGACCAGTGTAAAGCAGATGGTTTTTCCTGTTTTGGTTTTTTTTCCCCTAAGAGCTTTAGTTTTGGATATTACATTTAATTCTTTAATGTAATTAGGAGTGATTTTTAAAGTGCAAGATAGATTCACTCTTTTTGGGGGGGCGTATTGGAATCAAACTCAGGACCTCATGCCTGCCAGGCGGGCATTGTACCTCTGAGCTATATCTCCAGACTCAAATGTACTCTTCTTGAATATGCACATATTTTCCTAGTACCATTTATTGGAGAGACTTTTCTTTTCCTCTTATGTTTTTGGTATCCTTGTTGGATTAAAGGCTGCAGCTATGTAGCCTTCCTCATTGGAGACCTTTAACCCTGCGGAGTTCCTTCATCACCTTTTACAACTAGAAAATGTTCTATTGTTTTCTGAACAGATATGTAAAGTAGTAGTGTGTGTGCACGTGTGTGTGTGTGTGTGTGTGTGTGTGTGTGTGGTTTGTTAGATATATTATATAGACACAGACAGAGACAGAGAAAGAGACACAGAGAGAGAGATCATTTCTGGATTCTGTACTCTGTTCCATTGGTCTGTGTGTCTATTTTTATGCCAGCGAATCCTCTATTGATTGCTAGAATCTTGTAATACAGTTTAACATCAGAGAGGGAATGTCTCCAGTTTTCTTTTTTCTCAGTTTTACTTTTGACTGTATTCTTTCATTATGAATTTTAGGAATCTTTTCTATTTCTGTGAAAAATACACTGGAATTTCCATAGGGATACCTTGAATCCGTAGGTCACTTTGGTCAGTATGAACATTTTACCAATATTCTTCCAATTCATATAGTCAATATTATCCCAATTTCAGTAAGTGAATATTTTTCCTCTGATTGTGTTTTTTTTATTGATGTCCTACAGCTTTCTGCGTACTGACCTTTTATCTCCTTGTTTATATTTATTCCTAAGTATTTTTTGTGATGTTGGACACGAATTAACTTTTTTCAGATAGTTCGTTTTTAGTGTATAGAAATATAACTTTTATACGTTGATCTTGTATTGAGCAACTATAGTGAATTATTTTCTTCGTTTATTTAATGTGTTTGGCACAGGGTCTCACTACACAGCTTACACTCATGGTGATCCTCCTGTTTTCAGCCTCCCTAGCACTGGGACTACGGGCGTGCAGGCCCCGAAACTGGATGTGGTGGCGCATGCCTGTAATCCCAGCACTGGGAAAGCTGAGACAAGAGGATCACTATGAGTCAAGCTGTATAGCAAGATTTTGTGCCTAATAATTAAATATAAAATTAAAAGGAGATATATTTTTTTAAAAAAGAGAAATTACTGCTTCCTTTGCCATATTTACTTGCCTTAGCCTGGTTCCCCATCAGCTATAGTCCCGAAACCAGAGTGTTTTCCATTTGAATAATCACTCAGTGACTTTAAACATCTTTTGTGTTAAGGTTTCGCCATCCAAACATACTAGAGTTGGCTGCATATTTTACAGAGCCTGAGAAGTTCTGTCTGGTATATCCATATATGAGAAATGGAACACTTTTTGACAAATTGCACTGTGTGGTAAGTTGTATTTATCATTCTGCTTGTCCTCCAACCCTCTGAAAGAGCCTGGAGTTTGAGATCCAGGAAGCTCAGAAGCCAAGAGGCGTGCATGTGACAGCACAGCCAAGAATGGGTTTCTAAAGAAGTAGGGACTTACCTGTGAATTCATGTCTTACTCCTCGAAGCCTTTATGAGTACCCGAGGTACTGGGTTCTGCTTGCCCAGAGTTACTGGGTCCCTGTTGTTTATTGAGTCTATACCTTGAGTGAGTTTATATCAGTTGCCCTTATTTCTCTGATAATTTTACTTGGCATAACTTTATGCAAAGTGTCACTCAGTCCAAGGGACACACCTGAATCTGATATGGATGCCTGAAAGAGAAAGACGTGGACTAAATCCTCTGATTTCTTCTAGGTATTTTTGAAGGGTTAGTTTAAAAGTTGATTCTGAAAAAGTCAGGTTTCCAATAAAATGGGAATAAAAGCAGATTATTTTCAATTACCCACAGTATTATGCCACAAGTAATTTAAGTATCTTGCTTGATGAACTATTAAACAGTGTTACCTTTCCATGAGTTTTTTTGTTTTGGGCTTTGTTTTGGGGCACTGGAGATAAATCCAGGAGCACACTACAACTGAGCTTTTCCTCAGCATACTTTAGTTTAAGACAGGGCCCTGCCAGCTGCTCAGGCTAGCTCAGACCTGGAACTCTCCTGCCCCAGTCTCTCTGTGTTGATCTCAAGTCTTGGTAGGCTAGGCGATACTCTGCTACTGAGCTCCCCCCTGGCCCATTCTCCATTTTCAGTAAGTTAATGCTAACAATTGCTAGGCATTTAGATCCTCTGTAAAGAATTCTAGAACCATCACCAAAAGCAGAGGGAAATCTGCAATTTAAAATGGGTTGGAGCTGCTGGGGAGATAGCGCAGCATGGGCTTGGCAAGCGCAAGGACCTGGGTTGGATCCCCGGTGCCACATGCTTTGCTGGCCCTGAACCAGGGTGTGGTGGCACACACCTGTAATCCCAGCACTGGGGAGGCTGAGATGGGAGGTTCACTACCAGTCTGGGCTGTGTAGCAAGACCTTGTACCAAAGAATGAATGCATGTGCGTGGCTGGGGGGGAGGAAGAGGAGGTTGGAACAACTCCCCAAAATGCAGATGCACCTCCCTCCTCCCACGCTCCCATTTGCCCTCTGCTGCTGGCATGCTGCCGCGAAGAAGAGGTGGTTTGTGTTCAGAAAGTGCAACTGCCCGATCGCTGCTGTCTTTTTAGGGTGATGCAGCCCCACTCTCTTGGCACACCCGGATGAGTATACTAATCGGTGTCTCCAGAGCCGTCTGGTATTTGCACAGTACTCAGCCCTACTCAGTCGTCTGCGGCAGTATATCCAGGTGAGGCACCCCAGAGCTCTAGGGTATGCCTGAAAGCCCCCTTCCCATCGTGCAGAGTCATACTTCATGCCCTTTTTGTGTTGCAGGTATGTATATATGAGTGCATTACGAATTCCCATCCAAGTATTAAAATTCTTATAATTTTAGTAAGGCAGTGGAAGGCCTCAGGGAAGAGACACCGCTGAGGCAGGTTCCAGAAGGCTGGGATGGCCACCCCCAACCTGAACTAGTACCTCTTCCACCCTAATTAGAACCACCACCGAACACAGTAGGTGCTCCAGGGTGTATTTTACTAAGTGAACAAGTGTCTGCAATTTTACTATAAATATTCCTCCTATGGCTTAATCTTAAAACTTAAAGTCAGCTTTAGTTTATTTTCAATCTCATATTGTAGTACCATATATGGATTTTATTGTTTGCTTTGGTGTGGCTGAGCTCTTAAGATCCTTTGCTGAAAGAGTTTGAAGGAACAGAAGAGAGAAGGAAGGGGATGTTGGGCTCTGGAGGAGAGCCACACACTGGAGCAAAAGGGACAGCAGGGGAGGGAGAGAGAGAGAGAGAGAGAAAGAGAGAGAGAGAGAGAGAGAGAGAGAGAGAGAGAGAGAGAGAGAGCTCTAATCCTAACTGCATAGCGAGGGAGGCAGGTGTGCACTCTGCCCATTGCTCAGCGATTCACATACTGTCACTGAAGCGGGGGGATGTGCCTTCCCAGACCCCTCACTGTTGGTGACAGTGCAGACTGCTGGCCTTGATTCCCACTTTCTCCCTTTGGGCTTAGGTCTTCAGGCAGGTGCCCAGGAAATGGGCTCAGAGGCAGAGATTTGTCCGCAGAAGACTTTTAGGGAGACCTCTGAGGAGCAACACATGGAGGGGAGGGGAGGAGCAGGGCAGCACTGGCAGATGGAGTGGGTAAGCCAGAAATTGTTCCCACTGCGGTCTCAGCCGGTGCTGTGGGGAAATGGTGCAGCTGGACCAGCCCTTCGGTGGTGCCCCAAGTTAGGCGGGGCAGGTGGGTCTTTGCATCCCGAGTCAGGTCAGTGCTGAAGTGGTGCTGGGACCTGGGTGACGCAGCTCCTTCCTACTGTGGGCAGTTCTCAGATTGAGCTCAGCTGTGCCCACTCAGCTGTCACCCCTCCCTGCTGGGAACTGAGAGCCCCCCAGGGACCTGTCAGGGAACTGGGCCTATAGTTACCCCAGAGATGTGATTGGATAGGGCTCTGCAAGGTGAGACCCAGGGAATTTGCACCCCTACTTTTCCTTCTCCCTCTCCCACCTCCTTCTCCATTGTCTTCCTCTTCTTTATCTTCTTTTTCAGACAGGGTCTTGCTGTGCAGTTAGGCTGGCCATGAGCTCATGTTGTAGCTCAGGCTGGCCTCAAACTCGTAATGATCCTCCTGCCTCAGTCTCCCAAGTGCCAGGATTGCAGAGGTGAACCGTCATGGCTAACTGCATCTTATCTTACTAGCCCCTAATGTTTAATTCCAGGAGACTTGATGTAAGGAGCAGACCTAACACTTAAAAGTTCTGAGCAAATTGGAGCCCGGGAGATAGCTCAGTAGAATAAACAAGCATCTGCCTCATAAGTGCAGGGTCTTAAGTTCAATCCCCAGCGCTGAAAAAAAAAAAAAAAAAA